GTTTGCTTAAAGCGCAGTATTGGGGTGGGAGTTACCCGATTTTCCAGGTGTTGTGTGTCTCAGTTCCCCTGGTTAGGAAAAGGGATTCCCTTTCCCCTTGCGCTTCCCAGGTGAGGCGATGCCTCGCCCTGCTTCAGCTCTCACTGGTCGGGCTGCAGCAGCTGACCAGCACCGATTGTCCGGCACTCCCTAGTGAGATAAACCCAGTACCTCAGTTGAAAATGCAGAAATCACTGGTCTTCTGTGTCTTTCGCACTGGGAGTTGGAGACTGGAGCTGTTCCTATTCGGCCATCTTGCTCTGCCCCCCAAGTCATCTGTTTCAAAGACTTATAAAAGACATACCAGATTCAATGATTATTTTAACTAACACATACCAATAATTATTTAGAAATTGTTATTGAGTGTCTCTCTCCCTCTCTGTCTTTTGTTTTCAGAAAAATGTGATGAGCCACTCGTCTCTGGACTCCCCCATGTGGCTTTCAGCAGCTCCTCCTCCATGACTGGTAGCTATTCTCCCGGCTATGCCAAGATAAACAAGCGAGGAGGTAAGCCAAATTTTGATTCATTTATCAATAAACATGTTAAATAAGAACATGTTATATTTACAGCCATATATATATAATATATATATAAACTCACACAACAGATGTTGACAGATACCAGAAATCATTCTTGCCACTTCTATTAAAAGATCCATAGAAACCATTAACCTCTCATGTAATCTCTATTGGGGAATAACATAGGAAAACTTAGGCTGGAAGTGGGAGATACTAAATTGTCCGGGATAATAGAGTCAAAATGGCATAAACATTTAGAGTTAAAATTCCTATTAATCAGAAAATCATTTAGAAAGATGTAAAAAGGAATCGATTCCCACAATGTGTACAGTGTATTAAAAAGAGCACTTTGTATTTACTGTATATTAATGTAAAAACTTAGTTCCTATTGAAAATGCAAATGACCCTTATAATTTTTCCTCCAGTACCCAGAATGTGCCTCTATTATAAAATCTGTGTGAAAAAATAGTTAGATATATGCAACTACAACATGAGTTCTTGATCTTAAATCATGGTATTTGTTAGTAACTGGAAGTTTCCAATGTTCTAGCAATTCACTGAGAGTAAAAGAACATAATTAAGGACAGAGGCAAAACACTTTTGCTTCAAAGGAACACTGGTACAAATATCAGCAAATGGCAACTTAAAAAGGAAAGAAACAATATTGTCTTAACTAAATATGAATCAACAAACAAAGACCATGATGTTTAATTCCGTAAAACAGGAATGATGGTTGACACGGGCTTCAGTGGAGAGGGATTAAAATTAGAGATAATCTGTTAAAAGGTACAAAGTTTTAGTTAGACAAGATGGATAAGTCTTGGATATCTATTGTGTAGCATGGTGACTGTAGTTAATAATATGTTGCATGCTTGAAAATCGCTAAGATAACAGCTCTTAAGTGGTCTCACCATGTACAAAAAATAACTGTTGTGATGGATGTGTTAATTATCTTGAATTAATTATTTCACAATACATGTATCAAAACACCATGTTGCATACTATAAATATATACATTTTTTTGTGATTGCACCTTAATAAAGCTAAAGGAAACTAAGAAATGTGAAATCATAAAACAATCTAGAATCAACCAATTCTAGAAATAAAAAAAAATAAAAGGGAATGAATATATGAATATAGGAGGAAGCAAGGAAGGGAATAAAGGAGAGAAGGGGGAAGGGAGGGAGGAAGGAAGGAAGGAAGGAAGGAAGGAAGGAAGGAAAAATGAAAAAAGAGAACAGGAGGAAACCCAAAAGAAAAACAAGAAGAGGAAAAAATAAAGGAGGAAGAAAAAATATTGCATCAGAAAAGAAAAGTTTATCAGATTTACAAAGACCAAAAAAGAGAAGAAAACAGATAAGAAAAAACTAGCCTAGTGTATACAGAATAATATATAAGGTATTCACAGAAGTATGAAGAGGTCTCAGTTAGCAAAAAGACTTGGTGAAAAAGTGATACACAAGCAAAGGTAGAGGAACATGACAAAAATGCAGCTTTCGTGTAACATTAGTATATATTAGCTCATTTTTATAACCTGATATTCATCAGGCTATGGACATGAGAGACTTGTTGAGTTACTATAAGTTATCAAAAATTCTGCCTAATGATGTTGAAGTAATATAAATTTTATTTCTCTCTCATAAAAGTCATTGGAAACAACTATTAAAGAATGAATATAGACAGAAAAACATGAAACAAGGAACTGGCCATACCCAAAAGGTATGCAGACCTTCCCAGTACTAGGAAATCTAGGACAAAATATGAAAAAGATATACCATATAATTCTGGTCCCAAGAGAATGTACTGTTCCCTAAAAGAAGTGCCATAATACCAAGAGACATAAAGCACCTGTGAGGAATGGAAGCAGAGTCAGAAAATGTTGCTTTCAAAAGCTTTGAGTGAAAGTATGACTGAAGAAGATGATTTGCTCAGTAAATTTGGGCAAGTCAGGTTCTATCATGCAAACAGCACTTCAGGAATACAAATGAGACAATCTAGTCACCAATGAGAAAATGGAAAGTGCACAATAAAGAAATTGTGGCCACATGACTGGTGTTGAGCAGGGAACCCATTTCCATATACGACCTCAACTAAACAATGCAGGTGCTATAGTTGTAGGAGAGAGTATAGATGTTATAGGCACAGAAATTTAAAAGTGTCAATTATGGGAATTAGATGTGGGAATTTTTTCTTTTTAACCTTTCAGAGCAGCAGGCTACCAGATGCTGAAACTTCAGATATAAATTTATTTTGCCTTTGATTTTTTATGGGAATTAATGTCTTTTACTATATATATATATATATATAGGTTTTTTGTTCTCATTTAATTCTAGAAAAGTTAAATTATTTTATCTTTGCTTTAACATAATACAAGATACCACTTTACATCATTTAGAGCTAGTTGTGTATTTATCTACTCATATAGAGACAGTCAGATATCTGATATTAAGCTTCCAAAATGTTGATATATTTTTTAACTTGGATACTGGGATTTGAGGAGTGTCTTTACTTTCCCTATAGTAGTTTTGTCTGTAGTTTGTAGAATATATATTTATATCTGATAGCTAGCTAGGTAGGTAGGTAGGTAGGTAGAGAGAAATAGAATGCATTTCCAGAAAGACAGATGTTTCAAAAGCAAAAATCTATAAAACAAAAGTTACAGTTTCTTAACTGTGTGACCCGAAGTTCATCTCTTTTGGACTATTGATATACTGGATGGTCATACATTAGGGTGAAATTCTCATGTTGGGAAAGAAACTGTTGTCTGTCCTATAGATATAGGTTTACACTTTGCTATAGCCCATTTTATCAACATTTGTTACGTGGGGTGGTGCCACCACGTACTTTTTGACTCTTAAAGACTGCTTTGCTTATCAGCGTTGTGCTGTCCGTAAGGACATATAACTCGCCCTCCCCAGCCCTCTCATTTTTGCTCCCTAATTTTTACGGATGGTGAGGTAACTAAGCTATATCTTCATCCTTTGTGCTGCTCTGCCTCTGCAGGTACAGACAAGACACATACGTGTAGGGCTTAACCCTTGTCGGCCACATGAGTGTGGGGCAAGGGAACTAGCATGAGAAAGGAAGGTTATAGCCTCTCCAAGGAAAAACAAAAAGAAAGTCATATATAGTTGTTATAATACAAAACATTTTTTTTTTTTGAGGGTCTCGCTCTGTTGCCTGGGCTGGAGTGCAGTGGCGTGATCTCAGCTCACTACAAGCTCCACCTCGTAGGTTCAAGTGATTCTCCTGCCTCAGCCACCCAAGTAGCTGGGATTACAGGAGAGTGCCCACCATGCCCAGCTGATTTTTGTATTTTTAATAGAGAAGGGGTTTTGCCACGTTGACCAGGTTGGACAACAAAATATTTTATTCCACTCTAAAATTTATATGCAAATGCCCTTGGGAGAAGAGACATGTAGGGTGAAATTCATGATAACATATACGTGGCTAATAGCCTGCATTGAGAGAAAAGAGATTTTTTTCTTTAAGTATAACATGATGTTATATATCTGGAAGATATAAAGAAGACAGAGAATTCCAAGCAGAAAAAAAATACATGAGCATTACCGAATCCAGGAATGTTGGAGATACATTTTCTTAATTTACAAGTGGCAAGAGTCATCTGATACACTATATAGGCATCTGAAAGGGAGAAGATCATATACTAACAGAAAAATATAAGAATGTAACCTACTAATTATACAAATGCTGAAAAAAACAAATTCAGTTGAGCATTATGTTGATAAACATTGGCTTTAAGTTTTATTATTTACTTAAATGATATTCCTAAAATACATTTTGGAAAGAGACTTCATAAATACATAGAAAAGCACCGTATAAATGCAAATATTCAGATGACAGATAGTCACATATTTGTGAAATTGAATTTAGTTTATGGGTCTCCACAATACAAATCCATCTGCTATAATCTTGATGTCAGGGACCAGTACGTGGCAAAAGTGGGGAGGAAATGTGACGTTTAAATGAAAAATCCATGTGTAATTCTAACATGTCTTTTGGAGCCCACTGCTTTTAGTTTGTTAGTGCTGTTGTTGTTTTGTATCAACGCCTTATTCCTGTGATCTGTGTACTGATTTATCCTCACGTTTTTAATCCATTGAAAGCTTGTGTCATTCTGAGTTAATGGCAGTTAGATGTGTTACTCTTTCCAAGGTTAGCACAGATACAAAACCTTTGAAAGTCTGAAACAGTGTATCTCTTACCTTGTTTTTAATATAGAATTTTATAGATTATACACTGCTTTCATCTGTGCTCTAATTGTTTCTCAATCTTCATAACAACCTGGTTAGAAAGAATGGTAAGTTAGAGATGCCAATCAATTCTTCTGCCAAACTTTCAACCTTGTACTTCATATGCCATTTATAGAAATCAGCCCTTTTCTCCTGCCAGAAGCACAGCCATCCACCACATGGCTCAGGTCTTCCTCCACTACCACAGAGGCTTAGCGAGAACGCCTGATCTCAACGGATGCTATTAGAATCTCTCTGCTTTGTTAGGTGACATCATTTTGGGAACCCAGGGGACTACTGGGGAAACGATAACAGGCTATGTGTAAACTAGAAAGAGAGAAGAGGAGAGCAGATGCTGGGGAAGAAAGGAAGGCATGAGTCCGGGGAACCTGCACAGAGAAGGATGAATCAAGCTCTGGTTTCACTCACAGCCTCTTTCAGGCCCCTGTTTCCAGCTGGCTTAACTTCTGACTGTACTTCAACTTGAGTCTCTGAGATTATCCTTCCACTTCTAATAGTCACCTCCTCCTGTCTGAGCTCATTCAAGTTTTTCTTCCTAGTTACTAAAGGACTTTTGGTTTTAAAGAAAACACAAACAAAAACTAGTTATTATCCCCATTTTACAAATTCAAATAATACATATAGAAACCCCAAAATACATCATTAGTTTCTAAAGTAGCATAGTTAGGGAACAATGGCACAGGAAGAGGGACACAAATCCATGTCCTCTGCTGG